TCGCTAGGTCTTGGGCAAGGGCTGCTTGGGGTAGAGGCTTTGCTGGCTGAGGCATCACGTCCTGAGCAGCAGCAGACAGTTTAATGGCAGTTTCCGGTGACAACTGGATGTGGTTCTGTTTGGCCCCCAGGTTTGTCCCAATGGTGGCACAGGGCGTGAGAAAGGCAGTGCCAGGGGAAGCTGACCAGGAAGGTGGCTGACTGCTACCTGGGTTTCATCAAACACTTTGGAGTGAAAATCCAGCAAGGCCACCCCTAGCCTGCTCCTCAGGCAGGCTCCCCAAATTCCTCAGCCTGGGCAGCTTCCTCCCACACCTGCCCCATGGTGGCAGCTCCTAACACAATTCAGGAGGTGATTCAGAACTTCTAGGTGGGGGTTCTTAGGGGCAGCAATTCCTGGAGGGGATGGAGGGCTATAGGTTTCCATTACACACGTGTGGCACACTGATGCAGCTCAGAGCACGCACTCGCCTGAGGCTGCCAGCAGTGGAGGGACTTCTGGCAATCATTAAGTACCAAGGTCCCCACAACCATCACATCCACCCTGAAGACAGCTGTTCACTATGTTCAGGGGCCAGGAATTAGTCTCCTTCATCTCCAAGTCCCTCTACAAGAGAGTCTGGGTCAAGTGTTCATTTAAAAATGTTAGTTTGTGTTTCGGTTTTCCCTGTATTTCTGTCCCCCCTTGCAAGGAGATGACAGCCCTTTGGGTTTCTTTGATTTCTGTGCGGTAAAAACATTTAACAGATTGCTTTAAGACAGCCCCCTGATGTGTCTTCCATTGGTGGCTCAGCTCACTGGAGAGACCACACAGGCATTCCTGAGGTGCCACTGAGGAAAGGAGACCAGGAGAGCAGGCAGAGGTGGAACCTGTGCCAGGTGAGGAAGGGGGCTGAGGGGGTGGGCCTGCTAGTAGGGCTGTGAGGATGTGAGCCCTGTGCCTGGCATCACCCTGGGGAATGGCTGCACTCAGCCCTGGGCACCCATTCTGCCAGCCTGGGTGAATATTCCTGGGTGCCAGGAAAGCAGTGATCTCATGATCTCACCCAAATCAGGGGCCTGTGGAGAGTTAGACAGGGAGGAGAGTGTGGCACGGTGGGCTGAGCCTAAGAGGCTCTTCCTTCTCCAGCTTCCAGGCTCTCAGAAGCCGGTTTCTCGGGCTCTTGGGTGACTCTGGGGAAGCGCAAGGCAGGCAGCTTCAGTAACCATGGAGCCTGCATCCTACTGGCCAGTCAGGGTGGGGCTGGGCTGGAGGTAGGTTGGTTTCCTTTAAAAAAAAAATAGGACAACCTTTGTCCTCCTGGATTTATGTAGGAAGAGTCATACCTCTTACTGCAGTCAGCACACAGTACACTTGATTGGCTGCTCCAGGGTACATCCTCAAGCCAGGTGAACAGGAGTCCCACAATCAGCCTTTTCTATGCCCCTCAGTGAAGGCATTGAGGAGGCTTGGCCTTGCAGACCACCTTGACTGACTATGGCTTCAGAAGACCCCTTTACCTGGTTGTGGTGGATTGTCAGTTCCTTGAACCCACAAGCCCCCGAATCCCTCTGTCTCCCCATCACAGTAGTCTGAGTGGAGCTCCCTGCTGCCAGCTGCCGAGGGTGTAGCGTATAGGTGCAGCCCTTCACCTAGATCCCTTTTGTATATAAGCACCTTCTGTCCCACTCCTCTTTCTAGAACAGGTCTGTAAACTTTCTTCCTGTGACCCTTCTCCATAACAAATAAAAAGAGGCAGTCCTTGGGAGCAGAAAATCATGCCCCAGTTCTGACCTTACTGCCATGGCCAGGGTCAACAGCTTCCCGTGTTTCGGTGTGAAATGGGAATGACAGCGCCTTCACCTCACAGGACGTACAGGTGAGTGGCAAAATGATCTCTTGCTCTAAGAGATTCTTAAATGCAAGGGACCATCTTCTACCCTTCCCTTTAAAGAACTGAACCTGGAGCCTCAGAGGGTGGGACTGTTTCCTCCTTATCTGGACAACACACGGGTCAGAGCTTGCACACTGAGATCTCTGATTCACGTTGGAATAAACGCAAAGCCATGAAATTAAAAGGTCTGTCTGCCCCTTAAGTCCACCTGTGAACCACAGTGGCTGCAGCAGTGGGTATAAGATCTGGCTCGGCCTCTAACTCCCCAAGCTCTAGCAAGTCTCTCAGTCTCTTTGGAAAGTATATGGAACAAGGAAACAACAGTTTTGGTTCTGGGACTGATTCTTTTACTCGGTATCATTTATCTTTAAGCAAGTTTTCCCAACTGAGGAATAAATAAAGGGGGCGGGATGAAGACACACTTCCCACTCTAAATCCTCGGTCTCCTGTCATTGCAGAGAGAGGGTGACACAGTCCTACACACACCCCTGTACAATCCTGTCCCTGTGCAGAGCCCGGCAGAGCTGGTCCCTGACCTCCCTCTGTCCCTTAGGGCCTTTCAAGACAGCAGCCCTTCAGGCCCCTACCTCCCTCAGCCTCAGGGACCAGGGGAACACAGCACAGAGGCTGGGAGTACAGGGGTCCCCTACTGGAACCCCCTCTGCCCTGGACCACCCAGAGAGTCTCAGTGAACTCATGCCTGCAGTGACCTCACTGCTCACAACCAGGATGGTGAGACCCACCCCGCAGCCAGCACAGGTGAGAAGTGATGGGTGTCTCCTCAGGAATGTGCTGCCCAATTAAAACTGCCTCCCAGACAGCCCAGGTGGATGCCGGGACTGCTCCCCCAGGCAGTGCTGGCCAGCCTTCAGGCTTTGATCGGCAGCCATTTATGAGGGCTTCACGGCACCAAGCGTCCATCTGGGTGCTGGGGACACTGGAGAGCACGGCATGTTTCAGACACACTTTCAGAAGTGCATTGTCAGAAAGCCTCCAAGGTTCTGCAGGCGCTCTTTACGTCCCCACCAACCCAAAGCCCTGCTTTTCTCTCCACAGTCCCAGCCCTCAGCCGGTTCCTTTTCTCTCCAAAGCATCCACAGCGCTCAATCTTCCTCTGGCTGCCTTTTCCTGTTAGGCTGGTATGAATCAGGCCATTGCCTTCCCACCTTCCCGGATTCTAGGACAGCCTGGACAACCCTCTATGTGTCCACCTGTAGTGTGGATAATAAGGCTTATCTGTCCTTGGCAGGATTCTGGCAAAGTGAGCAACATGCATGAGACTGAAGGACGGGTTCACTCGCCAGACTGCCCAGGTGAAGTCCCTGTCAGAGCGGATCCTCAGACACAATAGCCAGATTTGGAAGATAAGCCTCAGGCGCCTGGCAAGGGACCTCCCTGTGTCTCAGGATGGCAGGATTCTGGCAAAGTGAGCAACATGCATGAGACTGAAGGACGGGTTCACTCGCCAGACTGCCCAGGTGAAGTCCCTGTCAGAGCGGATCCTCAGACACAATAGCCAGATTTGGAAGATAAGCCTCAGGCGCCTGGCAAGGGACCTCCCTGTGTCTCAGGGTTTCTGCCTTAAGAGCAGATATTAGAAGATAGAAACCTGGGTGTGGCCTGCATGGTGTGTTGTAGATAAAGCAGTCAGAGAATGTTTATGTCAAAATTCAGGCTTTCCCCTTAACTGGTTCTGTGTCTGTATCTTTTAGGATTGCATCCACTATGAAGACACCCCCCCCAAAAAAAACCTCCACAATTTTGGGGGGTGGTTATTTTTCTCATGCAATGAGAAGTCATAAGATTGGCAGTCCAGAGCCTGAATGTGGTTCCATATGCCACCAGGGACCCAGGCTCCTTTATTCTTCTCTGCAGCCTTACTTAGCAGGCACTTATTGCCTCACGGTCCTAAGATAGCTGCCCCATCTCCAACATTAAGTCTAAATTCCAAACAGGAAGAAGGTCAAAGGAACAGCTGAAGTCTCTGTACCTTTTTAAGGAGCTTTCCTGGAAGTCCCTCACAACCTCTGCTTACATCTCATTGACTCAAATTATGTCACATGGCCAGAAAGGCTGGGAAATATGTTTTTAATTGAATATACTGCTGCCCCCAACAAAATTAGATTTCCATAAACAAGAAATATAAACTGGATTAGAACTTGAAAGAGAGAGAGGTGAAGACCAAATTTCAGGGAGGAGTATAGGCAGAGGTAGATAAAGAGGTGCATAGCCCGTTGTTACTTCTGACAAAGATTCTTTGCCTGACCAAACTTTAGTTGGCTCCTGAACCTTCTCCCAGGTCCCTCTGTGCCCTTATTAAAAAATCCAGTTTTGGCGAGAATTGCCCTAAGTCAATTTAGCAAGAACCCTCCCTATCTGATTGGGGTCCTTGATCTCCACACCCAGGTGATATCCAAGCACCTGGGCCTGTCTTCAGCCAAAATCCTGTTAGGCTGGTTTAGCCAGCATTCTCCTTACCCCAGTTTCCTCTTTGTCCTTTTCCATCCACTGCCCTCCCACCCTGCTCCTACTTGCCTCTGCTGCGTTTGGAATTGAGCCCAATCCAATCTCTCGCCCCCACTGCACGGCTCCACTGCAGCAGCCCCCACACTCAACTGCTACGGCACTCTTCAGTAAAGTCCGCTTCATCAGCAAGTCATTCGGTATTTTTTAACACTTACTCTAAAGGAAGGCTCCGTGGGCTGACTGTGGCCAGCAGGTGGGCAGGTGGCTAGATGGCAGCAGGACATCTGCCTTCGGATGGCAGAGGCCTCAGAGGTCAGCAGCCTCATTCCCGCTGCCAAGAGGAACCTCATTCACCCAGTTCTCAATCTGTCCTCTCCCCCCGTTATCTTAAGTAAGTTCACCTGCCTAACGTCTGCTCTCGCTTCCTTCCTCTGCAGGCTAAACTCAGCCTGGCAGCCCGTGCAAGGAACCCCGTCCTCGAAAGCGTCCTCTAATCCCTGCGCGGGCTCTGAGTGCGGGTGACCGGCGGAGGGACCTAAGGCGGGAGGAGCGCAGGTGTGCGTCTTCTGCTGCTTCCTACCATCGTCAGCTCTACACCGGCCGTGTTCAAAGGACAGTTGAGAATGACTGTGGCCCCCGGCAGCTCCTTCCTCCCGGCCCCACAGAGACTTTCAGCTCCGGAATGTGACGTGAGCCTTTCCCAGCGTCTCTGGGCAACGGCGGACAGCAGCCTGTTTCTCGGCCCCTCCCGCCGGAGGCCGTGCAGATCGCGGCCCGCCAGACCCTCTTCCGGTCGCGCTCAGTCGGCGCCGACCGCCAGCCGCGAGGAGCGCCCGCGCCCACGCACGCAGGCACCGCCCCCCAGCGCCTTCCTTTCGGCGCGTGCGCACCGAGTGCTTGCCGCTCGGCGCAGCGAAGAGGCAGATAACATCACCTGAAGCGAGCCGGTGGCGGCGTTGCGTCCGAGAGGGGAATTTCCTGGAAGCCCGCGCCCTGCAGTTCCGGGGCCTCGGCGTTGTTTCTCGCCTGGGGAGTCAGGGGGACTCGGAGCGTCGCTTTTTGCCAGGGGGCGTGACCTGAGCACGCCTCCCGGGCTGCGGATGGAGCGGGTTGGGAATCTTTAAGGCCTGTTACTGATTCGGCGCCCGGTGTTGGTCCAGGAAGGCTTGTCCGAGGACAGCTCAGGCCAGATAGTGGACAGGAAGTGGCGACGCAGGGCCAGGTGGGAGCCGGGGGTCCCAGACACCTGGCGCTGAGGAGCTGGGCAGGCGGGCGGATGCGCGGGTTCCTGGGCTGTATGGAGGAGGTGGGAGCGCCTGGGGAGCACTGCTACAAAATGACAGCCCTCCTGGAAATTGTGCAGATGTTTGGGATCACACTGAGGACGGAAATTTAGTCATTTTTGTGTTTTCACTTTTCTCATCGAAAAACGCAGTTTCTTCTCACTGTGGCCACTAACATGGACTCACTTGCCTCTTAGCATTCTAGGACACGATGCGGGTGGCACATCCCGACCATGGAGTCCCAGCATTCCACCTCTGCTCCTACCCCTTCCTTCAAGAGGAAGAAAGAAGAAGACAGGGAGGACTGGCTGGCTGACCTGGAGCAGGAAGAAGCCGTTGTTCAGTTCCCGTACATGGAGTTCACTCGTAAAGATAGCATCACCTGTCCCTGCCAAGCGACAGGCTACATTCTGACCGGTGAGAATTTTTGGTGATCATGAGAAGGATAATTCCCCAACCAGAATCACAGAGTACCTGCAGGGCTTCTGTCCGATCTCCCAGACAGCTTTTCTTCTGGGCATGTGTACCATGGTCCCAGACTGGGCCCTGAAGAGGAGCCAGCTCAGCTGATGCATAAACTTGGGCAGGGTTCTCAACTTCTCTCGGTCTCCTTATATTTGAAAGCCTTTATTTTCTTCATTTCCACTCTTTCGTTCTTTGTTTCCTTGGTTTGGAACATTCTCTTTGCTGGGTATTGTGGGGTTTGTTGACAGGCCCTTTTCTCTATTGCTCTCACTCAGTCTGGCACAGCTTTGCGGGGAACCATTTTGGGGAACTTATTTTCATGGAAGTAGGTAGTGAATCATTGACAGCCTAAGATCTGGAAGATATGTCAAGTGGGGAGAGGAAAATCAATGCTCAGGAGTGGCGCCTGGGTTAGATCATCTGTCACTAAGCTGGCCCTCTGGAAGGTCTGAGCAGTTTAGATGGAGAGTCACAGAAATTTACAGCTCATACAAACATCTGTGCCAAAGCCTTTCTATTGCAGATGAGAGGCAGTGGCCTGGAGAGGTGATGACTTCCCCAAGGCCATTCAGCAGCTCAAGGCCATACATTAGGGCAGACAAGCGCCTAGATTTCTCACCTTCCATGTCACACTCAGGGATCACATTGGCAGTGCTAATAGGTGTTTTGTAATTTGTGGCACTCTCAATACATGTACTTCTTGTTAATTAGACCCAAAGTGCAAAGTTGGTATCTTAGAAATGTATAATTTCAGACAAGTATATGCTGTGGCTAATCTTTGATGTGAAGGAACTACTGCCAACACATGAATTTATTTTACCAAACTCGCTGTTTGGTTCTTTTCTAGAACAAGTAAATGAGTTGGCAGCTTTCATCTCCCACAGCGATCAGAGATTGCAGCCTCAGAGAGTGTGAGTTACCTGTCTCTCTCCTATTAATACCTACATCTAACCCTAGTCCCTCTTAATATGTGTGAGTGCCAGTTAACTTTTTGAAAATTTTTATAAGTTCTGGTAAATTCCCTGTTTCCTTTAATACTGTTTGCTCAAGCAGAAAAGTTCTGCCCCCATCACTGTCTGGGGAAGGAAACTGGAAACTAGAAATATTCTGAGGGCCAGGTGAAGGAATTGAATTTGAAGGAATTGGAGAAGAAGTAAGGAAATGTTTCTGCCCACCCACCCCCTCTCTTCCCTTTCCAGATTGCAAACAGCATTCAGTGGGTTTTAAAAGGCTTCCCCTCCCCTCTGGGGTTCCTGGCATTTTGTACTTTCCTTCCCCTCTTACCTCATTCCTGGTTTTGCATTTAATCTTGACTGGATGTTGATAGCTGACCGCCTGGGTGGGTCATGTGCTGTGTCATTTGCAGTAAGCAGTATGTCCTCCTGTCCTGCTGTGTCTCCCGGCATCTGGTTTGGTGGTCTTCTTCCTTTTCCCACTTTCGGTCCTGGTGGGTGATGATGGTATCAAAGTGGTGAAAGTCACATTTAATAAGCAGGACTCCCTTTTAATCCTCACAATCACAGTAAGTCTTAAGCCTCCCTTCCTGGTGTGCCCCTGCATGCCTTGGGCCTGAGACACTTACGCCCATTTCCTCACTTGCACGGATGCAGGCCACCCTGAAAATAAGGAACTCCAACTTCTACCCTGTTGCAGTGACCAGCCTGTCCAGCCAGGTTCAGTACATGAGCACAGTGGTTGGTGCCTATGTGGCAGCTAACATCTCCCTCATTCCACCCGGAGTGAGCAACTGGTATGCTGTTCTTTTGGCCCCTTGCCCCATAGGCCTAAGGGAAGAGCAGGGCTGTGGGAATGCTTTAGTCTCATTACCTTCCTTTTCTTTTCCTAATTTCCACTTGTAGGAATTGGTTAATGAGGAAGATCTGACAAGCTCTGTAATTAGGAAAAGCAGCTAGCATTGAAGTATTAGGTAAACAAAAGAATTTGTAAGAGAAGACAATTTGCTACAAATCAAGAAGAGGTAGTTTTATAGCCTGAGGTCCATTGGCCTCTCAAAAGGGAAGAGGTTAGAAGCATTTGTTAAAGGCTGATGATCTTTATTGGGGACAATCTTGGGGAAATATTTTGCATGTGACAGAAGAATGCTCCCAGGTCTTTGGATTGCGAATAACAGAACTATTCTGTGTTAAGTCTGCTTGGCCACAGACTAACTTTGGTCTCTTGTTTTCAGGTGACTTACTGTGAAGGCTGAGATGGGTGGACCATTTTTTATGTGTAGTGAGACAGTGTTCTCTCTGTGTGTCTCTACTGGATGATAGGGACTTAGACTTGTACTCAGTTGCTTGCAGCTGGTCCTGCCTTAAGTCCCAGTCTTTTGCCTGTGGGTTCCCCAGCTTGGGCTGGCTTGAGGCTTATTTGGAGGTTGTATTGTTTGAAATGCAACTGAAGTGCTGGAATTTCCAAAAGAGAACAGTAAGCTACTAGAAACATTTCCAAGCTCCAGTACTAACAGTGGGTTGGAAAAAAACAAAAGGTATCATGCAGGTGGCTGGAAGGACACTGTGGGTCTGGGAATGCGCAAGCCCTGAGGGTGAGTGAGGATGAGGAAGTGCCGGCAAAGGGCTGGCTGCTCCCCAGTTTGACAATATAATTCAGCACTCTTCTGTTGAATCTCTTTTTTTAACTGATGTTTCCATATTTGCTGTTTGGTAGCTTCTTCTGTATGTCACCCAGTATCCTGGTGCACACGTAATGATCTTCATGCGGTGCATCACTCTTCCCCTGTCCCTGTGGCCTTTGTGTTTGAGCCTGACTCAGCCACATGAGCTCTCCATCTGGGCTCGGGAGATCCTGTGACCACCCAGGACAGAGGCCTCCAACCGAAGAGGGGACACCTGATGCCTGCACAGGCACGGTCACAGTAGACCTCTAGTGTCCTACAGACGCCAGGTCCAAATCCGCTTTACAGACCACCAGATTCACAGTAGTAAAATGTCTCTCCGTGAAGTGGGGTCTAGTTTGGTGATCCCTTTAGACTCCTGGTGAGACTAATAAAGGACAGAAAAGCAATTTTTAAGGTGTAAGTACTGGGCATTCAGCCAGACTTACTGTCTGTCCACCCAGATTACCACATGTCACAGACCTGTAAGGTTATTCCTAGAACCACGACTGTTCGCAAACTCTGCTGCAGACATTTGAAGTATGAGGGCTAGAGCAGGGTTTCTCGGCCTTGGCACTGTTGCCATTTTGGGTGAGTCAGGCCTTTGTTGTGGGGGCTGTTCTGTGCACTGCGGGATGCTCAACAGCACCCCTGCCCTCACCCCTCTTGATTCCAGTAACCCCACCTACTCCTACCCTCAATTGTAACAACCCTGAATGTCTCCAGACATTGCCAAAAGTCTCCCATGGGGTGGCATTGTCCCCAGTTGAGAAGGTCCCCTCATGGCACAGCATCTCTGTGGATGTGGAAAGATCCTCTGGCCTCTTGGTTATGTAACCGTGAAGATAAGCCGCTGGGACCAGTGGATAAGCTTGAGTAGTCAGGTTTCAGAACCTCAGCTGAGGTCATCCCAGCTCCTTCCCCAGCACTGGCGGCCTTGGGAAGCCCTAACAGCAATAGGTGGTGGCAGGGGGTTTGTATTAATTTTGGTCCCCATTCCCATAGCTTGATTTTCAATGTTTGCTTAATGATTTTTGCACTCTGAATCTTCATACCAAGGATAAATTTCATGACTGTTTGGCTGATATTGACCATGGATATTGTTACCTGAGCTTATAAGAAATTTGGGCTAATTTTCTTATTTCATCTCAAAAACAGAATTAATTCTTCTTGATTTCTTTTCCTTAGAACTTCAGTTGAAGATACCTTACGTTGGCTGCATGACCCAGAGTTCCTTGGAGACAAACCATTATGTGGACTGTGATGGAGCCAATTCCACAGCTGTTTAAAAGCTACTCTGGGTTCTTCCACAGCAGCACCTGTATGAAGAGACACATCTGTTCCCAGGGCCTGAGCTCCATACCTACCCCAGAGAGTAGACGTAGAGAGAAATTGGCTCTGTCAGTTCCCAGCAAACATGCTCCCATGGCTTGGAAGAAAACTCTGTAGCACTTTTCTCAATTATGTTTCTCAGAAGCAGCATAATCCCTGCCTAGTGCCTAACCTATGCCCAGCAAATAGCAGGCACTCAAAGAAGGTGTGAATTTAGTACTGACCTTTTTCAGCTGTTCTCAGGGCCTTATAAACTGAAATCACACCATGTTCTAGGTGATCAGACTGTGACGTGATGTGGAGGGAGGCCTATCAACGCAGCTGCACAGAAGAGGCAGCAGGGAGAGGTGTTCGAATGCATAACAAGAAGGCACAGACCTCAACGTGACGTTTCTCATCTGCTCCCAAATGCGCAGGAATTTTAAAAAACAAAAACAACCCTTTTCCCTGTAGAAAGTTAATGGTTGTTTTTACCAAAAGTCTATGTAGGTGTTGATTTACCCTTCATCCATTGGCTGGAACATGGATCTGGAATTTGGTAGAAAATAAACCTGATGTTGACTTATCTGTGTCTCCTCTGACTGCCTGGACCCCAGAGTAACAGAGTAGTCGCCAGCTCAGTGGGTCCGCACAGGATGGGAAGGGAAGAGAAGGTGCCCTGGTTGTTCTGCGCCCTGGACCTCCTGTCACAGGAAGCGGCCTCTGGGGTGACAGGCTGCCCTGTTGTGCTTACAGAGGGCAGTGTTGGAAGAGTAGAGTAGAGACGCCTGAGAGGTGAGAAGCCACTTCCCCCACCCACTGGCGGCAGTGCTGATCTAGAGGACCTGATTTGAGGCTGAAAGTTTCTTGAACCCTGTGCACTCCATCAGCCACCAGGAGTGGGCTAAAGCCCCACGATGGTGGGGAATCTAGTTGGGAAGCTTGAGTGGTCAGGCTTCAGAACTCAGCTGAGGTCGTCCCAGCTCCTTGCCCAGCACTAGTGGCTTCGGGAAGCCCTAACAGCAATTGGTGGCAGGGGTCTGTATTTGTTTTGGCCCCATTTCCATAGCTTGATGTTCAATGTTTGCTTAATGACTTCTGCAGTCTGAATTCAAGGGAAAATTTCAAGACTTTGGCTGATACTGACAGTGACTGAGTAACCTGAAAGTGGAGCTGCTTGCCCTACTGGGTCCTTTAACGCTGCGTGTACACGGCAGGGACACCTGCTGTGTGCCGATGATAGATGTCACCACTTGTGAGGAAGCAGATGTACAGTTTCTGAGAATGTTGCCAAAACACATGAAGATCTTCACATCGCTGTGTTTTATCTTCAGTTTTCCCATTTTCCAAGTAGTCTCTCATATTTTCCATGTAACTTTGAAAAAGCTGTTTTGGTACTTAAGGTTTGAATCATTTTTGTGACCATGTGCCTTAGTGGCATTTCTTGTTCTTGATATTACCCTTAAATCCAGCTATCATATTAAAATAAAGCACTTACAGTTTTTAAATATACGGAACATAAATAGGCATGAGAATAATGCTATGAATTCTTTATATTCTTGGCATCCCAAACTATACTTTAGGATGTCCTGCATAGTTTTATCCCACTGTCAATCCTTAAAGGCATAGGATTTACTCAGCAACACCAGAATTTCTGATGCATTTTGTCCAGAGTCATAGCTAGAAGTTTAAAATGCTATCACAAGCTTTTGATAATTTGCCTGCCCCATAGAGGCCACCGTTTACCTTCATGTCTATTCTGCTACCCTAGTTTCCCCAAAGCAGGATACCCAAGATCTCTGGGTCAGCTGTCCTTCCTAGGGATTCTAGCTCCAAATGCGAGACAAATTATTTAAAAGAATCAGCCTATTTGTAAAGACTGTGCATGAATCTAATTGCCCAAATATTTTCTCTGAGCAAAGTAATCCTTACTCTCTGCCTTTTTAAGTAAGATTCTTCATCCCCTCCACTCAACTCCTAACTTTCTCTGTGTTGCTTTGCTTGTGTAGAAGAGGAGACTATTTCAGAAGTTCTGTGATTTGCACAGGATCCAGGAACTTGAGTAAGTCTCCTAGTTGAAGCTTGGACACTTCTGTAGAGGTGAAGAAGAGAGGAAAATTGATCTGGCCAAGCCTCCAAGCGAGGTGGGCCACTCCATCCTGCTGTCAGGAATTCACCTGAGGTTATTCTCACTGGAGAGACTTCCCACCTTCCCTGGGGCACCAGGGATCACAGGAGTTGGTAATGAACCTGGCCATTCCCACCTTCCCCTTGAGGCCAGGTTGGGACAAAGGAGCCTTGGCAAGCGAAACAGCAACCAGGGATCACAGGAGTTGGTAATGAACCTGGCCATTCCCACCTTCCCCTTGAGGCCAGGTTGGGACAAAGGAGCCTTGGCAAGCGAAACAGCACTGGTGCGGGCAGGCACAGGTCTTTCTGCTCCCTGGGCCTCTGCCTTGAGCCCTTCCTTCTTGATCTCTCCTTGGCTCTCTGCGCAGCAGTTGTCTATTTCTGGGTCTCACTAGGAACTCAGGAAGGGGATGGGCAGCCCAGGATCACCTTAACATCCTGGTATAAATGGGGAGTCTGTGTTAGCTTTAAGTGCAGACCCAGGAAGTGAATAATGGGTCAGAGAGAAGGGGCAGGAAAGGAATAAGAGGTGGGGTTAAGCAGTCAACACTTCCACCTCTTCTTGAGCTAGAAATCTTGGAGACACAATGAACTAGATCACCAAGATTGTCCGACTGTGCACTTACCACAGGACCCCACAGACCCGTTCTCCTCCCTCTGCCCCATCTTCCCCACCCTGCCTTGAAGCAGCTCCCATCTCCCAAGTGGCAGCCTGCACATTGTCCATCCCCAAGCCCCAAGTGCATCTCCCACACACTAGTGTGCCCTGGGGCGTGTTCTGTGTTCACTCCCAACAGGGCCGTTCCTCTCTCCTGCCTCCCTTCCGAACCCTTGGGCTGTGGTGCCAGGTCACTCCTGGGGTTCCACGCACGGCCAAGGTTTGTGACAAGGGGCAAGTTTGTGTTTATAAGAGGTTGCTAAACAGGGCAGTGTGGCTTCAGTGTCTTCCAGAAGGCCTAAGGACGGCCACTTGGTTGTGCCCATGGAATCGGGATTAATGGAAAATAAAGAACACAGCACAGGTTGTCGATACGTACTTTCCAATAATTTTTTTGTTTTTAATATCAGTTGATGTTTTAAAAAATACAGAGGTGTTTGACACCGAATAGCACCATTGTATGGGACACACACGTTCCTATGCCCAGCTCCTGAAGGGGCTCTTCTTGCTGGGCTCGGGGGCAGTCACTCGGGGGCGTTTGACTCACACCAGTTAGTTTCCTGCCTCTGCTTTGACCCAAAGGTCTTATAGGAAGACAATAAATAAATAGAACACCGAGATTTTATTTTGCAGTCTGCCCGGTTCAGGTCTCTTGGAAAGAGAGGGAAGAAAAGTCCAAACTGTGAGTGGGATATATGGACATCAGGTTGGGTCAGCCATTCAGTGCAGAGTCCTAGAGTGACTGGGGTTGGAAAGCACTTAGGTCCTTTGGGTTTGCAAATGGATGGTGTTGTTTCAGGTTTGGGTTTTTACAAGAAGCAGGCAGGCCCTATGTCCACACCAAATTCCTGCTCAGGCCCTCCTATGTCCATAGGTGCGATGTCAATGATGGGGAGACGTGAGGTCTTCTGTGACCGGTATTCGATCATAGTCTTGCCCCACTTACCGGTGTGTTTCTAGGGGAGAAAGAGAGGAGACCTTTATTCAGTGGATGACTTGCAATCCAGGGTCAGCTGCTCAAGACCCCAAAACTGAGCATCATACAACACAAAGTGAAAAATACACTTGAGGGTCCCCAGGCCTCCTCTGGGCTTTCCAAAGCCTGTCCGCCTCAGCTCCTGTCTTTTGTGGCCAGGCCTCCTCTACCCTGCCCTTCTCCTCCTTCCCTGCTCCCCACAATGAGCTCCCCACTTGGGAGCCTCCGCTCGCAGGCAGGCCCATACCCATCACATGAGCACTGCTGCAGGAGCACTAGACACTGGGCAGGGTCCCATGTCCCTGAGCCCAGGGGCAGAGAAGATGATGTGCACCTCAGCCTCTCCTGTCACTCTGCCTGTCTTCCCCACGTAACCCTCACACTCACACCTCTGAGGGTCCCATCACTTTAAGACCATGACACCTGCTGTGGACCAACCCTCTGCTACTCCAGCCTGAGCCCCAGGTCCCAGGCACTGCCATCCCCCTGGCAGCTCCAGCTGGCTGACTCACCGTGCAGCCATCCTTCAGCACAGTATACGTGAACCTGCTGTTGCCCTCAGCCCGAATCTCCACATCGTTGGAGCCCTGGATGAGCAGGGCCTTCCTGAGGTTGCCAGCTGTTTCGTCCAGGTAGGCAATGCTGTTCTTGCAGTGGTAGGTGATGTTCTGGGAGCCCTCGGTGGACAGCAAGCGGAGGAAGGTCATCTGGATGTTGGCAGTGTTGGGGGCCAGACTGTCATCTCCATAGCTGAACTGTTAGGGCAGAGAGCAGGGTGTGAGGCCCGGGGGTGGCATTCAGTGGGAATCAGGGGCTGCCAACTGTCTGGAATGCAGAGAAGCTGATGGGGGCCAGAGATGCAGGTCACTGGAAGGATGATTTTGCTTCCGGGGCACAAAGCAAGACTTCAAGCCTCTTCCTCCACCTCTTAGATGGGAAAAAGTACTATTCCTCCTTTTTCTTTCCTCTTAAGCTCCAAAGAAAACTGGTGAGAATGCGGGCAAGATGCTAAAGACTTCCAGGGAGAATGAAGAGAAAGATTTTGAGGCTCCACCTCTGCCTAGAGCAGACAGGAACTCACGTGGAAGCCACCATTGATGGTCTCTCCAAACCAGATGTGTCTCTTGTCCTTGGTCTTGCTGCTCCACCAGTTCTTCTTGGGCACATTCGCCGGGTTGGGGTGGACACAGGTCTCGCCCGTCTCCATGTTGCAGAACACCTTCATGGCGTCCAAGGTGCAGCCCTGGTTGGGGTCGATCCAGTAATCTCCTGCAGGTGGGAGAGGTTACAGCCGTCAGGGCACAGACATACTCCGGACGGAGAACCAGGCCTGCCTGGGAGAGAATGAAAGGCCTGGGGGATGCCTGAGGGGTGCAGTGTGTGAGGGCCTCATGTGGCCCCAGGGAGGAGAGATGAAGGGATCCCAAGCCAAGGAGATGGGGGTGAGAAAAGTCAGTGCTAGGCAGGGGTGCCAGCGAAGGGCAGGAGCGGCTCCTGCCTGGCAGATGGACGCCACCTTGAAATCACTTCCGCCATGTGGCCATACAGCACAGGAGCCAGAGCTGCAGTTTCTCTGCTGTGAGGAGAGCAGCCCTCCACCAGAACCTTCTAGGCCTGATCTGCTCTGCCCTAAGAGGTGTCTCCTTCCCTTAGAGGGTGGGCTGACTTCCTACTCTCCGGGGCAGGGGTCCTGCCCTCCAGCTCACCGCTCTTCCATCCGGGGTGGCAGAGTTTCAGGTCCCGGCAGGTGCGAGCAGGATTCTTGCGGGAGCCCTCCGGGCTGCGGATGCTCTCAATCTGGTTGTTGAGGGACTTGAGAGTG